GATTTGAATATTGCATAGCTGTATAATGGGTAAGTAAAACATACGCAAGGCAAGTATTTATGTTAATTGCTGATCATTATTTTCACCTTTGGGAAATTGAGCTACTTCCTAACCTGTCTGCTGACAATAGAGTCAAACATTGCAAAGCATAATTTGCTTGTCATGGTCAACCAAAGTAATCACAAATAATAGGCATCAATTTGCATGTGAACAATCCATACAATTTGCAAATGATTGGAAGTTGGAGCATATCACATCTTCTCCAAAGCACCCACAAGCCAATGGGAAAACTGATTCAGCAGCCAAGATAGAGAAAAATCACACAGTCCCATTCATTTATGTTGATATATGTATTGCAACTTAAGACACCAATTATCATGAAGGGCATTTTGGAACTGGAAAAAAATAATAAAGACAGCAAACATGATGCTAGTAGATATTCCTTTAATGCTTAGCTGCCTGAGTGAGCATTAGAGGGAAACATCAATCCCTGGAAATTACACTATTGAATAAACCCTTGAAAATCACCTAAAACTTTTGTTTACTTTTTATATGATGCTCCATTTTCTTTTAAAAGTATATTTAATTAATGTTTTAGAAATTGACATACCCACTCTGTGACTGACAGGTGCAAATTTAAGAGCTTATATGATAACAATGGTTGACAGGGAACCAAAATGGAGGATCTGTGTGGATTTCTACATTTAATTTTATCATACCTCCCAACATTGGCAGTCCCAGAATCAGGACACTGGTGGAAGATGTGTAAGGGGGCGGGTCACTGACGTGTTTGTGTGACTTTAGAAATCCTGCATATGAACCATTGGGAATCCTCATAGGTCAATATAGTGCCAGGAATACAAAGCTGTATTCCTGGCACTATTGCTCCCTCTTTCTTTACGAATAGAGAGAAACTAACTGGCAAATCTATCTAGCCAATCAGTGCCATCTCTGTCTAGCGGCACTTTGCACTTACTGAAAGTCAACTAAAGAAACTTGATGCCGCTGGGAAAGGGAGATTCAGAACTGGAGAACAACCTTTGAAGTTAAACTGTTCGACAAGTGTTTAACCCATTCAGGTATGAAGTTGTCATGGTGCCCATACAGTTCCTTTTAAACACTCTCTCCCTCTTCTAGCTCTTATTTGACAGTATTCCAGACCAGGCATAGGTAACCTTTGGCACTCCAGATGTTTTGGACTACACCTCCCATGATGCTTTGCAAGCATTATGGGTGTAGGAACACTATAGGGGATGTAGTCCATATCATCTGGAGTGCCAAAGGTTGCCTATCCCGAATCTAGACCATCAGACAGACTCAATCTGTATCAGATCTATAACATATTTAATTAATTGTTTGCTATAGAAATTAATATTAAGAGGTTGAAATTTTGTGGAATCTTGACCTATGGTATGGATACTTTGTTTACATTCTGTTTCAGAATATTATTATAAATTTACTGCTTTTGATTTATCTGGGATGTGGATATTGTTCTTCACTTCATGGCTCCTTTCATTACTGGCTATAGTATTTTTATTCCTATACATAAAACTGACAAACGTATATATAATGGCTATTATTACAGGGCATTTCAGCGAATACACAAGAACTTCAGCTTCACTCAACTTATGGACAGCTGGGCAGCCCTGCTTGGTTAATTAGGAGTCACACTGACATTCCCCCATATATATAAAGCTAAAGTTGTTAAGTCTGAATTAAGGGGTTCTGCCCTCTAGGTCATGACCAGTGACCTGCTGCTGTGAAAATGTAGTTAATTATGTACAGTAAGGTGAAACTCTCTTTAATATATCCAATGTGAAATCACATAGTATAGAGGTTCACACAGCCCAGCGGGAAGGACAAGGACAGTCCTGCAAGGTTTCAATGAAAGGGTGTAAAGTGTCTACTTTAATCTATCTATTTAGGTAGAATAGGAATGTGCTTTCATCTGGGCATGTTCTAGGCTAATGTAAACACACAGCTCATTTTACAATGTTACCTGATCTTGATTACTTTAAAAATGTTAATTTGCATTATAAAACATTGTCTGTTCTGATTAGAAATAACATTTCATTTTTTTCTTAGTTCCATGAATATTAATATTAATTAAATCCATGAAAAGAATTTTTTTTTTCAATCAGACAACCCAATGAATTATAAATCTTACTCTTTTTATTCCTAGTTCAGGTGTCTGAAATAATGCAGCTTGTGATATGACTAATTAACTCAGTGCTGATAGATAAAGGGGGGTTGTTGGTGAGGTCAGGTGGGAAATCAAGGCAATTATTAACTCCAAAGTGCCGTGCAGCATATCCATAAGCTTAGAACAAGTACAAAATCAGATATATGCCCTAACTGCAGAGGTTAGATCCAAAACATGTCCCAGTAGATGGAGCAATCCCAACCAGTTAGTAGTCCATCACCATTTACTTGGATATTTATTATTCTGCAATATGTCCTGCACATATTACATAGCTGTGTACAATCCAAACCAGTGTAAATGCAAAATAGCAGCCTCAATATATCATGCGGTCTTTTTTTACACAGAACATAGGCAATTCATGAACAATATACGAACAGACAGAATAATTTTAACCATGTAAACTCATAAATATAAAACTTGAATGCTGCATTCTATAAATTCTATGGCATTTATCTCATCACATCTTGGATGTAGTGGAACATTGAACACCTATCATCATAATCTCAGTTATCTCACTCCACAAATAATATATCTAGTACAACTTTGGACACCATTTATCATGAAGCACATAAGGGAACTGAAAACAAAGTGTAAGCGAGGTTGTTAAATTGTGAAATGGAAACCGTGTAAGACTAGAAATGCTGTGTTTGTTTGCAGTAGAAAAAATGTTAACATTATATAAATCAACATTAAGAGCTCTCTTGTGACCTGTTCACTAATAGAACTGTAAAATGTTCAAAAGATCACCTGCGGAGACCTGTATAAAGCAGATGACAACTATAGCAATAGATAAGGATCCTCACAGTTAGTACAATAAAGATACAGAATTCTCTCGAAAAATAAGATTCAATAAATGCTTTTAAAATATAGTCTACAAGAGACTCAGTAGAGATGGGTAATCTTACAGAGTCTATACATGATACGTCTATACGTTAGCATTAAATATGTGACCCTTTGTTATATGACGCAACTCCCTATATTATCTCCATTGACTTGCCTTCCACCACTATGATAAATTGGATAGATTGCCACATGATCCTACACTCTTTCTTTATTACTTTTCCAACTGTGGAACTCTTTTCCAACTATATCTTATTCTTTTCTCAACACTGTCTTCCCCTTTTCCTCTCTTTCATTCTCCCTAGCTCCCCTTTGTTATCTCTTTGTTCTGGGACCCTCTTACCCTCATTGGTATTCTGAATATTTGCTTGTAAGTTTGGAATTACCTTTTTTAAGCTATGGCACCCAGTGGTCTTCAGCTGGCAAACTGCATTCCTTAAGTGTTTTCTATCATCAACAATTAGCTAGGATGTAATGAAATATTTTGGATGTTTTTCATGTTTTGGATGGTCCTGACATGGAATACTCTACAACATCACACTGAGACAGACAGAGTGGATATTTTATATCTATCATCCCAAGCCTCATAGCCTAATTAGTTTTCTACAACCTGTACTAGTAACTCAGACTACACTATCTGTCAATCTTGATGTCTGTTTTTTTAAAATTAATTATTTTCACTATATTAAGGAACGTATTATAAGTACAGAAAACAAAAATGTCAAGTATAACTAGGGTTACCAGATCCACCATGTTTTCTGGGACACAATTTTATAACATGACAGGAGGCTTCGTATTTGCTTAAGACTTTCTTTACTTAAGCTTCACAGCAGAACTTTTTTACTTAGTAACAAGGTAACCAATCAGAAAAAAGGATAACAAGGTATATAAGTCCCTCCCAGTGATGTCATTTCCTCTTTCTTTGCTGCTTCACACCAGAACAGGTCAGAGTGCCACTGTCTCCTACTTCTGTGGGTTTCTGTGGTTTATCTATTATTGTATCTGTCATCTGTTTAATTCATATTTCTTTATAGTATATATATATATTTTCTCTTTATACTATATCTGATAAGTTTATTTTTTTCCACATCTCTATCTAACACTTTGGTATTTCATTACTTTCTCTTTTTCTGCTTTTATATTTGATTACTGTCCGTTTTATTATTTTCTACCTTCTTTAGCCCGGTTTCTTCGAGCGGCATTCTTGCCCCGTTTTTCCCGGGCTTTTTGGACCGTGGAGTACGCCCCCAACGGTCCCCAGTGCGCATGGCGGCCATCTTGGATCTCACGCTCCTCCGCGGGATCCAAACGGCTTCCTCCTTTCACTTGTGCGGCCATTTTCTTGGAGCCGTGATCTCCATTTACTCCGGCCGTACGGCGGCCATTTTACCGCTTATCATAGCGGTTAAATAACTAACGAAATCTGTACATATCTTTAATATTCCTTAATAATTCATTATATTAATCCATGTTCATTTATTTTAATTATAACGGAGTGTTATTTTCTGCTTACTCCTTTCTCTACAAAGGAAGGAGTTTAACTCCAAATGCAGTTTCATCTCTGTCTCACTCTACTTCCCTCTAGTGGAGGATTATATATAGTGCATGTATAACTTATCTTTAATCACTCAATATATATTTCAACTAACAACTGGAGCCACATGTCTTTAAGTTTTTTATTGCACAATTTTCTGTGTATGTGTATTCTGTGCACTGTGCATGTGTATAAGGTTAAACACATAAAACTAAATTTTGATTGCTGTTATCATATACAGCCCATGATTGGCCCGCTTTGTCTGGGAAACTATACCTCTATACGGGTTTGAAAAAGTATTCCCTGAGGTGATTTATACTGGGTGACCCCCAATTACAGCTTGCAATGTGAAATGATAACATACTGTGATATTTTGAGACGGCCTTAAAATACACACTTACACTGGCCTATTCTGCCCCATAGGTACCAACACTGTTGCTATGGAGGCTTCAAATCAAGATCAAAACTTGCAAGCAATTATAAATGCAGTTGTTGCTGCTTCGCTAGAAAAGGCCCTGGCTCAGGTGCTGCCCATTGAGCAAAAAGACCCTAAAATTTCTGAAACCCCGCTTTCTGACGAAGATGCGGAGGATTCCGATTCCACAAAAAGAAACCCTTCCAAACCATATAAACGTTATTGGAAAGGGAATGGGCCAGAACCTCTCAAACGTGAGGGGAAAGAACCGGCGAAACGCTCCAAACAGGTGGATGCTAGAGAGAAACACTCCATCCAGCCTACTCTGTCAGAAGAAGAGGAAGACTCTTTCGACTTACACCCCTTAGCCATCCTAGATGAATGGCAAGCTGACCACTCCTCAGAAGATGAGGAGGACTGGCCCGAGACATCCTTTAAAGGAGCACCTCTCCCTCAATCTATTATGGGAGACCTCCCAACCAAAGTTACGATACCCGGATCACTTCCATCTGGGGACGCTGAATCCTTTCTGGATACACTTGGTCAACCTCTTTTTGACCCGAGACAAATTAGATATCCTCGATCATGTGAATGGTCACTACCAGACCATCTTTCCCAGTATATTCATTTTTGGATCAGAAGACCCCTAGATCGGGAGGTCCGCAAACGACTACGGGCTGAATGTCCTAGACCCACTCTACCATATAAGGTCGCGGTGACCCCGGAGTTTGTTACGCTGCTCTACACATATCTGGCCAGATCGTTCAGTGACACAAAAAAGGGCATTGAACGCAGCCTACGCCTAACCCAAGACAAAATGCTGGATATCCTAGGACCTCTGGCAAAAATTCTTCTACTGGCTGATGAAGCCTTATCCAATGAAGGTCCTCTAGACCCATATGTGATCAGAGAATGGGCTCTACGCTCTATTTGCCTGCTGGGCAATGCTAATACATCCCTCTGTACTGAGCGTAGAAAAGCAGTGCTGCTGCTTATGGATGCCAAGTTAGCTGACTTGGGAACCAAAGAATTGGGCCCCAAAGCAAAGGGTCTATTGTTTGGAGAACCCTATATTAAAGAGTAACATAAACATGTAAACTTATACGCCACACTAAACAAGGCGCAGTCATCCATGAAAAGGGTATTTCATTATCAACCCTCACGGGTTTTTTGGCAGGGCTGGCCGTACAAGGGGTTGCACAGTCAGCCGTTTCTGGACCACAAACCAACGCCAGAGAACCCCAACTTCATCTTTCTTCCCCAACTATCAACCAAGAGGCTCTTACTCCCAAAGGGCGGATAAGGGAAGAGGATACAGAACCCGCGGACGCAACAGATACCCAACAGGTGAGATTTCCTACCTTTCACCTTTCTACTGTTTATCATGCGGGCAGGTTTTCACACTGTGTAGACATGTGGAAGACATTGTCTTCAGATACCTGGGTCCTAAACACAGTTCAGGGTTATTCCATAGAGTTTCATTCTCTCCCTTTTCAAACAGGTTATCCTCACTATCCAAAAATGTCAAGGTCTCAGATTCTTCGTCTAGATTCAGAACTACGTTCTCTTTTAACAAAAGGAGCGATTCAACTCGCTCCACTCGACGAAGGTTTCCTCAGCTCCATCTTCTTAGTCAAGAAGAAATCAGGGGAATTTCACCCAGTAATCAACCTTCGTCAACTGAACTCTTTCGTTATTTACAGACATTTCAAAATGGAAGGGATTCATCTCCTCAGAGACATTCTCCGACCAGGCGATTGGTTCACCCGTCTCGACCTCAAGGACGCTTACCTTTCGGTACCAGTACACCCATCCAGTCGGTGTTTCCTCCGCTTTCATTGGCACCACCGGATTTTCCAATTCACCTGTCTTCCATTCGGCCTGAGTTCCGCCCCGTGGTGCTTCACCAAACTGCTCAAACCAGTCACCGCACATCTTCAAGAAAGGGGCATCCGTTGTTTAATCGACCTCGACGACCTCTTGCTTCTCTGCGAAGACGTATCCAGACTGCGTTCACAGACAAACTATACATCTGTATTGATCGAATCCTTGGGGTTTGTCATAAATCAAGAGAAATCATCACCGTCCCCATCCAGAGTCATTCAATTTCTTGGCTTCGAGATCGACTCTTCAACCTGTGTTCTTCACCTACTTCAGTCCAAGTTAACTGCGATCAGAAAGGAGCTACGCAAAACGCTTCAACAAGAGGATTTACCTCTTCGAGGATTAGCTCGGATCGTAGGCCTACTTTCTGCTTCCATTCAGGCAATCTACCCAGGCCCCCTTCACTATCGGGCCATGCAACGCTTGAAAGCTAAATTCCTCCGGACCCATCCATCATACGACCAGAGGGTCCCAATCACTACGGAGGTGAAGGAGGAACTCTTTTGGTGGCTCCGCCACATGTCGGCCTGGAATGGCAAGGCAATTTTCGGTCACACCCCGGACTTTGTGGTGGAATCAGATGCGAGCCCCCAGGGTTGGGGTGCAACCTGTCATACAACCTCCACCGGAGGACCATGGACCACCTCAGAACACTTTCTCCACATCAATTGTCTGGAGTTAATCGCAGGCTCGTTCGCAATTCACAGTTTGACCAATCATCTCTCAAACTGCTGTATTCTCCTTCGGATGGACAATATCTCAGCTGTCCAATACATCAACAAATTGGGCGGGGCCAGATCTCGCATCCTCTCCGAAGTGACAAAAGACATATACGAATTTTGCTTCCAACGCAACATCACACTTCAGGCAGAATATCTCCATGGGGAGACGAACATTACCGCGGATTGGTTCTCCCGAAGCGACTGGCACCTACACAGAAAAATCTTTCTCCACATCTCCAAACTCAGGGGCCCGTTTATCCTAGACCTATTCGCCTCCTGGACAAATTTTCAAGTTCCACGGTTTTTCAGCTGGCTTCCAGACCCAGAATGCTTGGCTGTGGACGCCTTCCTTCAGAGTTGGCCGACGACGGGAGCCTATGCTTTTCCTCCATTTGCCATGATTCCCAGAATCCTCCTTCAGATTCGCAGACAACAGATCACACTTGTACTACTCACCCCGCTCTGGCGGGGCCAAGCATGGTTTCCGGATCTTCTGGACCTCTCCTGCCAAGATCCTCTCCTTCTGCCTCCATGGCCCAACCTCCTGGAGGACCCTCAAGGGAACCCTCATCCAATGATAACGCAAGGCCACCTCCACCTAGTAGCTTGGACTCTTTCAGGGGAACCTGGCACTTCGGAGGACTATCGCAGAGATCTAAGGAACTCCTGTGGGATTCGTGGGCCCCTGGAACTAGAAGATGCTATCTTTCCTCCTGGAACGCTTGGTGCAATTGGTGCCTGGAACGGAATACCGATCCCCTTACGGCCCCTAGACAGTTCATATTGAATTTCCTCTCTCATCTATTCGATCTAGGCCGTTCCTACAGATCCATCAACGTTTCCCGTTCAGCCATCTCAGCAGCCCATGTTCTTCTAGACGGAGTTCCAGTGGGCCAGGACCAGCTGGTTTGTAGACTATTGCGGGGCATCAAACTGGCTCGCCCCCCTAAACCGAAATACTCCCATCTGTGGGACATTAATGTCATGATTCGTTTCCTCGAGACTTGGCCAAACAACGAGGATCTATCCCTCCGTCAACTCTCAGCAAAATTCACCCTGTTACTTTGCTTAGTGTCCTTCCGACGAGTATCGGATGTTCGAGCATTTGACCATGACGCTATCAACTTTTCCCCAGAGGGTGTCACCTTTTCCGTGTCCAGACGGACGAAATCAAACTCCTCTTCTATATTTTACCCTTACTTCCCTAACCACCCAAAATTGTGTGTGGTATCTCTTCTTTCTCGTTATTTATTACTCACCTCCTCTCTCCGTCCAACTTCCTCCAGCCAACTATTGGTCTCATACGTCCGGCCACATAATCCAGTGTCAACCACAACCCTTGCCCGATGGGTTAGGTGGTTGCTCTCCCTAGCCGGGATTGAAACCTCCTTCGGAGCCCACTCCATCAGAGGAGCGGCGGCATCGGGGGCATTCAGCGCTGGAGCCTCGCTTCGAGACATTCTTCACTACGCAGGCTGGTCCCGAGAACAGACGTTCCGCAACTTCTATTTTCGTCCGGCTGTGCACGCTTCCTTGGCCCTTCTCGGGGAGCATTAAAACAGCAAATACGAAGCCTCCTGTCATGTTATAAAATTGTAGATTATGCTAGCTTTAGTGTACCTATAATCTTAATTTTATTAATGACAGGAGGCGAGTATTTGCTGTTTTAACGCCACTTTTACCTTCGTTTTTTCCCATCCTAGGGTCGCCTCTGTAGGTAAGTTTCTAAGACAAAAGGAATACACTATGCCTTACTACCGTGAGGGTTATGAATTACATTCTATGATGTATAGATTAACGTTTTTCTAGCAGGCTATAATATATGATTCATATCAACTGGTTATCATATTTTCAAAGTCCAATTCACGGATTAATCCTTGGTTTCGACTCTGCTCTCGTTTCAGCGTAAAACTCCCTTAAGAGGTCAAGTCTAGTTGCTGTTCCACCGCAAGCTTCATCTCTGCTCTTCAAGAACTCAAGTTACGTTCCTGTTTCCCTCTCAAGCATCATCCTTCTCGTCTGGCATCCTGAATCCCTCATCTGGTTGCTACAGTTCCGGTTCCTATTTGTTCGCAGCCAGAAAGAGGAAATGACATCACTGGGAGGGACTTATATAACTTGTTATCCTTTTTTCTGATTGGTTACCTTGTTACTAAGTAAAAAAGTGCTGCTGTGAAGCTTAAGTAAAGAAAGTCTTAAGCAAATACTCGCCTCCTGTCATTAATAAAATTAAGATTATAGGTACACTAAAGCTAGCATAATCTACAATTTCACATATACATAATCTACAATTTGCACATGAAAAGGGTTGCCCTGTACTATGTAGCATTAAAAAGAAGGTGTATCATATGTAATGCATAGTAATTTGGTAATGAAGAATCCATTATATATACTGCAAGACAGCCATTTTCATAGGTTTTCATAAATATGACACAATTATATGTGTCCTAAAAACATGGTGGTTCGTGTAACCCTAGCTATAACGACAAAGATGAAAAAAACCAACAAAAAACACGTAGCCTCAATATAATTTTTTCTCTTACCTTTCCCATTTCCATTATTTTGCTCATTCCCTAATGTACATAAACATATTTCTTTAAGTATATTGATAATACCCTGTGTGGGTCATTTCCTCCATTTTTTTATTTTTTATTTCTCCTAATTTTAATAATGTCACTTTAAT